TGTTTTTGTAAAATTCCAAACGAACGAATTCGAGTGACTTACGACCAAACTCCTTGGTTTTGAAAAATATGTCATTTATTTTTGTTTTGAATCAGAAAACATTTATAAACATAAATAAAGGTTTGGTCGTAAGTCACTCGAATTCGTTCGTTTGGAATTTTACAAAAACAGGCTGTTAATTTTCATAAAATTTGTATTAAATATGAAATATTCTTCTTGTAAAAACTAATAATTTTTCAACTCCAACAAAAATATTACTTGAAATTAGCATTTTGAAACACCAAATATTTAATTAGAACAACAAACATACACACACACTTTTTTTCTAAAAAAATCAACAAATGTTAATATTCGAACATATGTCTAGTACTCGATGTAAGCTGTCATAGAGAGGCCATGACGTAAGGCCATCCATCAAAAAAAAAAAAAACTAACAAAAAATATTGGCCAGGTTTTCAAAACTCTTGTTAACCTACATCAATTGGCAATTGGAATCAAAGAAATCCTTAAAAAATAAAAATTCTGCCATATGTAAAAATTGTCTGGGCAAACGAGACAGACGCACACTCTCACCCAAAATCACTAGGCCATAAAAACCGCAAGTGTTAAAACATTATTGGACCAGATGAGTTACCTAAAACAGGATCAAAACTATCTATTTCCCTTTTTGTTCGGGTTTTTTTTTTTTTGTTTCGTTTTACTCATCAAATTTCAAGTACAAGTACTTTTCGATGTACAGACATACACACCTCACCCCCGGTAGGACAATGCATCATGGAAGGAAATACAAACAAACAACCCATTTCAAATTGCCATTATGTGGTTGTGTGTGTGTGCGATGATGCATCATCGTCGTGATCATCAGCTTTCTCATTTGAAAGTCCTTAACATTTCAAAAACAACAACAACAAAAATAGACAATGAGCCTTCACCAACAACCAGCCAGCCAGCCAACCAGTCAGTCAGTCTAATTTGAAAATAATTAAATCTATGGAAACAAAAATACACATTAGCCGACAAAAGGCCAGGGTAGTCTTGGGCGCAGGTACATGTGTAATCCAATAGCCTTGGCTGTGCTGTATTCCAACCAGAATAAATCCTATATTTTTTTTTTTGCCTCCGGAGGGAGGGTGTAATCTACCGAGAGTTAACTCTGCAGAAAACAACAAAATTATGCAATGTGGAAAAAAGGGCCTGACAAAAGGTGGTAATAAATTCAAATGCAGTTCGGCAAGCGGGGCAACGAGGAAAAAATTTAAACAGAAGGACATAACCAACAAAGAGATAATAATTTCTGCAACAATGATTTTTAGTTGAAGCAACAACAACAAAAAAATCCACCACCAAACCAAACACTTCAACCACCACCACCACCATCGCCATCCTGACATATCCTGCATTAACAATTACTTTTGTGCTAAGGACCTAAAAAGTGTTTCCTTGTCAAATGTTGAGAGCTACCAGTTAGCTACCAAATTTTTGTTGTTGTCTAACTGGGTAACTGGCAACATATGTGTCATTTTTGTACTCCCCTCCCTCCCCCTCTGCACTACAAATAAACAAACAAGCGACCCACCAGCCAAGGACAAACAAACAATAACCTAATCAGAAATTAATTTTTGAGCCAAAAGTATCAAACACTAATCACAAGGATTTACGATCATCCCGTGTCGGTTGTGTTCGAACCCAAACAAACCCTTATGTGACACTTGTTTTATTTTCAAAACCAAACTCAAAATCCTTTAATGTAAATACAATGAATTGTGTGTTTGTGTTTTTTTCTGGGAGGATGACAAGTGTTTGGTGTCAAAGACAAATTGAAAAATGGGATAGATTTTTTTCTTTGTTTGAGGCAGGTTTGTTTTTGTCACGAAGAAAAAAAAACAGAAATCGCAGAAGGACATATGGTGAATTTTTTTAAAGGGGCTTTGGTGCACCATTTACATTAAATCGGACGAAAATATATATGGGAGCTATATCTAAATCTGAACCGATTTTCACGAAACTTAACACACATCATTCTAGACTTAATTCAGTAGGCTGTGCCAAATTTCGTGCAAATCGAAAGATATATAGAGACTTTGGTACATCATTTACCTAAAATCGGGCGAGACTATATATGGGAGCTATATCTAAATCTGAACGGATTTTCACGAAACTTAACACACATAAATCTAGACCTAATTCATTACGCTGTGCCAAATTTCGTGCAAATCGAAAGATATATAGGGACTTTGGTGCAACATTTACCTAAAATCGGACGAAACTATATATGGAAGCTATATCTAAATCTGGACCGATTTTCACGAAACTTATCACACATCACTCTAGACTTAATTCATTACGCTGTGCCAAATTTCGTGCAAATCGAAAGATATATAGCCACTTTGGTACACCACTTACCTTAAATCGGACGATAATATATGTGGGAGCTATATCTAAATCTAAACCGATTTTCAGGAAACTTAACACACATCATTCTAGACCTAATTCAGTAGGCGGTGCCAAATTTCGTACAAATCGAAAGATATATAGGGACTTTGGTGCAACACTTACCTTAAATCGGACGAAAATATATATGGGAGCTATATCTAAATCTGAACTGATTTTCACGAAACTTAGCACACATCACTCTAGACCTATTTTAGTGCACTATGCCGATATATAAAGACTTTGGTATACCATTTACATTAAATCCGATGAAAATATATATGGGAGCTATATCTATGAACCGATTTTTACGAACCTTAACACACATCATTCTAGGCTTAATTTAGTCCGATGGGCCAAATTTCGTTCAAATCGAAAGATATATAAGGACTATATATCTTTCGATACACTTTTTACTATAAATCGGACGAAAATATTTACGGAGAGCTATATCTAAATCTTAACCGATTTTTCCCAATTTCAATAGGGTTCGTCCTTAAGCCAAATAAGTGACTTGTGCTAAATTTTATCTGAGTCGGATCATAAATGAGACCTGTACATTGTTTACACTTTAACATGGATAGACGGACGGACATGCCTAAATCAACTCAGATAGTGATTCTATAAATTTTATAAAAAATTGAAAATTTTATAAAAAAATTGAAAATTTTATAAAAAAATTAAAAATTTTATAAATAATTGAAAATTTTATAAAAAAATTGAAAATTTTATAAAAAATTAAAAATTTGATTAAAAAACTGAACATTTTATGAAAATTGAAAATTTTATAACAAATTGAAAATTTCATAAGTAATTGAAAATTTTATAAAAGGTTGAAAATGTTATAAAAAATTGAAAAATTTATAAAAAATTGAAAATTTGATAAAAAAAAGTGAAAATTTTATAAGAAAATGAAAATTTGATAAAAACTGAAAATTTATAAAAAATTGAAAATTTTATAAGAAAATGAAAATTTGATAAAAACTGAAAATTTTATAAAAACTGACAATTTTATGAAAATTTTATAAAGATTGAAAAATTTTTAAAAATTGGAATAAAAAAAAATAATTTAAACTTTATACAAATTGAAAAATTTATAAAAAATTGAAAATTTTATAAAAAATTGAAAAATTTATAAAAAATTGAAAATTTTATAGAAATTTAAAAATTTTATAAGAAGTTGAAAAATTTATAAAAAATTGAAAATTTTATAAGAAAATGAAAATTTAATAAAAATTGAAAATTTTATAGAAATTGAAAAAATGTTAAAAATTGAAAGGTAAAAAAAAAATAATTTAAACTTTATACAAATTGAAAATTATATAAAAATTTGTAAATTCTGTAAAAATTGGAAAAAAAATTGAAAATTTTATATAAAATTTAAATATTTGTAAAAAATTTAAAATTTTATAAGAGAATGAAAATTTGATAAAAAACTGAAATTTTGAAAAAAAAAAATAAAATGTTATAGAAATTGAAAAATTTTTAAAAATTGGAATTTAAAAAAAAATAATTTAAACTTTATACAAAATGAAAATTTTATAAAAATTGGAAATTATGTAAAACTTGGAAGTGTATAATTATAATTTTTTATAAAATTGAAAATTTTATAAAAAATTGAAAATTTTATAAAAAATTGAAAAATTTATAAAAATTGAAAAATTTATAAAAATTGAAAATTTAATAGAAATTGAAAATTTTATAAAAACTGAAAATTTAAAATTTTATAGAAAAAAATAGAAAAACATTTTTTAAAAAGTGGAATTTAAAAAAAAAATAATTTAAACTTTATACAAATTGAAAATTTTAATAAAATTGAAAATTCTGTAAAAATTTAAAATTTTGTGAAAAATTTAATTTTTTGTAAAAAATGGAAATTTTGTGCATTTTTTTTTTTGTAAAAATTGGAAATTTTGTAAAAAATTATTTTTTTTTGTAAAAATTGGAAATTTTGTAAAAATTGAAATTTTGTAAAAATTGAAATTTAGTAAAAATTGAAATTTAGTAAAAATTGAAATTTTGTAAAAATTAAAATTTTGTAAAAATTGAAATTTTTTGTAAAAATTGTTTTTTTTTTCAAAAATAATATTTTTTAAATATTTGAAATTTTCTAAAAATATAAAATTTTTTTTAACATTTTGGAAACATTCAAAATTTTATAAAAATTATCCAGTTCCCACGTATAATTTGTGTGTAAAGGCTTAGACTTAAAAAGTACAACTAAAAAGGGTAGCGGAACAACCACCATGATCGCAAAACAAACAAAAAAAGTGAACAATCACTTGATCCGATTAATTAGATTTAAATTTTATATCATTACACGTTAAGATAATACAACGAACTGTGACAATTCCTACAATGTCATGGGAGAGGTGGTGTGTGTCCTTTTTTTGAGCTACTAATTAAGTAAATGTCCTGCCAACTGGCTTTCTTTATAGTAAAATTTTAGTGGCTGACTTTTTTTAAAAATTAAAAATTTTTGATTGAAAAAATATATATTAAAAAAAATTTAAATCTTGAATTTAGAATTAATTTTTGTATTTTTTTTCTCTTCTTCTTCTTCTTTTTAGGCTATCATCTATGAAGGCCAAGATAAAAATCCGGAAATGTGCCGGGTGTTGTTAACACATGAAGTTATGTGCAGGTAAGCCTTATAATATTTTATATTTTTTTCTACCCTTCTCCCCACTTTTTCCTCTCTCTCTCTACCTTCATTTATTTCATTTCTCTTGACTTGTTTTAAAAGATTTCATAATATTTTATCTTTTGTTATTTTTTCCATCGCCTTGTTTCCTTGTTTGTTACGAATTTAACTATCTACCGCTTATTTGCATAATAAAGTTATCCACTGCCAGCGAGTGAGTGGTTGTATGAAAAAAAAAATAGAATTTCAGGTTGCACTTCCCAGAAGCTCTCTGGGGGGATTTGAAGCAAAAAAAAAAGAAAAAATACTAAGGAAAATATATAACACTGTGGTTATCCTTTAACAAGGAGTAACATTTTTTTTTTTTGAGATTTTTTCTTTGTTGATTTTTTTTAATTTTTTTTGTTGGAAATTTTTTTGTTTGTTTTTTTGTTTGTGCCAAATATTTGCATATTACTCAGTTATATTTTCACACTGTTTTCCCCTGAAAAGAAAAAAAATCTTCAGAATTTTTCTGTTTGATTTTCGTTAACAAGTTTTCCGATTTTTTATTTTATTTAATTTTTTCCGTTTGGATTTTTGTTTTTTTTTTCTTTGAAAATTCCTTTGTCTTTTGCCTTCCTCTTTTTTTTTTTGCCCAACTGTCTGTCTTGACGTATTTCCACTCGTTAGTCAAGTCATTTACACAATCACTGAAAATCCCCCTTTGTAATGAAATGAAAAACTGTTTGATTTCAACCAAGAGACAGACAGAGAGAAAAGGAGAGTGGGAGAGAGAGAGAGAGAACAACAAATAATGGCATCTTAAGCGGCACTAACACTTTCGCTAAGACATTGATACCGGACCGGGAATATTTATCTATGGCTGGTTTTCTTGTTTTTTGTTTTGTTGTTTTCTTTCCATGCCTCAGAAAATGGCCTTGCTCTTGGCTAAACTCTTTATTTCCCCCATCCCCCCCCCCTCTCTTGCCAAAATTTCCTTCCCTTGCAAGGATTCTGCGTATGTCCAGCACTAAGCCAATATTTGGCGACCATGCGGCCGGCCATGCTCATAAAATGGAGTTAACATTCGATAGCAGAAAAAAAGGGCATTATACGACAGCAGTGATACTCAAGCTGCCTTCTCTTGGAACCCTCTCTCTCTCCCCCACTTCTCTTCGACCCCTCTCCCTTAAGATACTACCACAGCCATGTCATTGTCATCATCATCATCATGAACCATGTAATGCTTGTTTAAGCTTTCACAACTTTCGGTGTTATCCTTTTACATTGGTCCACTGTGGTAATTTAAGGATGTGTGTAAACGGGTGTTTGTAAGAGTGTGTGTATATTCTTGTATGTGTGCGTGTGAAGAATTGTTTTGTAACCATTATTATATACCTTACAACAAACACAAACACGCACTCTAACCATAAAAATGATATTTTTTTATCTACCTCTCTCTATGTCACTTCATACCAAAACTTATGCAGCTCATCCTTACTCGAAGTAAAAGGATATCCTTGCTTTATTGACGACATTGGTCTATTGTTCCCTTTGGATGATAACAAAACACACATAAAGTATATTTGGCATATTGACCATAATTTTACGCATTAAAGTATTTGAGTTGATACAACTATTCTGATATCGATATCACAGGACTACAGGTGAAAAAATGAGGATTCTGTTGTTACATCTAAAAAGGACATGCATAATCCTTTGTAATACCACACAACCAAACCAACCAAAATGTGAAAATATTGGAAATAATCTTAAAGAAAGAAAACTAAATGGAAATAGGAAATTAGAGGGAATTTTTTTTAAAAAAAATGTATTTTTTATTAAAAAAATATTTCTTTAATAAAAAAAATATTTTTTATAAAAAAATATTTTTTATAAAAAATATATATTTTTATAAAAAAAAGAATTTTTATAAAAAATATATATTTATATAAAAAAAAGAATTTTTATAAAAAATATTTTTTATAAAATAAATATTTTTTATAAAAAAAAATATTTTTTATAAAAAATATTTTTTTATAAATCCTCGCCTAGATATTCCTTAAAAAAAATGTTTTTTAAAGGATATCAAGGCGTAAAGCCGTGGATTTATAAAAAAAATATTTTTTATAAATATATTTTTTTATAAAAATATTTTTTTTAATGAAAAAGGGTTTTCAAGAAACAAATTCAAAAATAATTTTTTTTAAATTTATTTTAACAGAAAACAAAACAAAACAAAGTTTTGAAAAAATAATTTTTATAAAAAAAATATTTTTTATAAAAAAAATTATAAAAAAATAAATTTAAAAATTAAATTCAAAAATATTTTTTTTAAATTTATTTTAACAGAAAAAAACTTTAAAAAAATATTTTTTTTGTCGAAATTTAGCTCATTTAAAATATTGTTGAATTTTCAACATAACCTCAAAATTAAAAAAAAAATATTCTTTTTGTTAAAAAAAAAATCAAAAATATTTTATCCAATTTAATAAAAAAAGGTTTTTAAGAAGCAAATTCAAAAATCCATTTTTTTTAAATATATTTAAAAGAAAAAAACCAAATTAAGTTAAATTTTTTTTTTTTTTTTTTGATAAAAAAATATTTTTTTGATAAAAAAAATTTAAAAATTAAATTCAAAAATAATTCTTTTTTAAAATTTATTTTAACAGAAAAAGCCTTCAAAAATATTTTTTTGTCGAAATTTAGCTCATTTAAAATATTGTTGAATTTTCAACATAACCTCAAAATTAAAAAAAAATATATATACATATATATATATTTTTTGTTAAAAAAATCAAAAATATTCCATCCAATTTAAAAATATTTTTTTTCGAAATTTAGCTCATTTAAAGAATATTGTTGAATTTTCAACACAACATCAAAAAATATTTTTTTTCTAAAAAAATGGTATCCCAAATAAACCGTCAACACTACAAAAAAAAAATGATATTAAGAAATAAATTCAAAAATGCATTTTTTCCCATTTAGAAAAAAAATAAAAAATATTTTTTGTTGAAATTTAGCTTATTTAAAAAATATTGTGGAATTTTCAACATAACATCAAAAAAAAATATTTTTATAAAAAAAATGATATAAAGAAATAAATTCAAAAATACATTTTTCCCATTTAGAAAAAAATTAAAAATTATTTTTTGTTGAAATTTAGCTCATTTAAAAAAAATTGTTGAATTTTCAACATAACCTCAAAATTAAAAAAATTCAAAAAATTGCATCTACATATATTTCTGTCAAAGTAGTTTTAAAACGACATTTTTAAAACTAAATTAAAAAAAATAATTTAGGCAAATTTCCAGATTTTTTGAAAATTTGTTGAATTTTCAACATAATTTCAAAAATGATCCTTTTTACAATCTACAAATTTTCTCTGCCCAATATTTGAAAGCGAAACATAAAATATATAATTTCTTCAAAATTTTCAATTTTTTTTTAAAAGATTGTTGAATTTTCAACATAACCTAAAAAATTGTGGAATTTTAAGTCAAACGTGTTAATATAGGTATAAGGTTTTTAGAGATCGCCAAAATGTCTCAAATCATAAAATCAAAAGTTTTTTTTAGATTTTTTTACAAAATTTTGCCAAAATTCGTATCGATAAAAAATTTGTTGAATTTTCAACATAACCTCAAAAATTATCTTTTTTACTTTCTATACATTTTTTATGGCCTATATTTGAAAGCGAAATATAAAATATATACGATTTCTTTAACATTTTCAGTTTTATAAAAAAATTGTTGAATTTTCAACATAACCTAAAAAGTTATGTTTTTAGGTCAAACATGTTAATAATATAGATATAGGTCTTTTAGTGACCACAAAAATGTCTGTAAACAAAGATTTTTCGATTTTTAACAAAATTTTGGCAGAATTCCGGTTTCTTAAAAAAATTGTTGAATTTTCAACAAGATATCGAAATGACTTTTTTACAATTTGTGCATGATGTTTTTACTAAAAACCTTTAATATCATTATATAATTTGAAGAAAAAAAACGAATTTCGATAAAATTTATTTTTTTTTTAATTTGTTGAATTTTCAACATAACTTAAAAATTCGATTTTTTCCAAATCATACGAAAAAAAAATATGTTTTTTTATTTTGAAGACACCATATACTTTATATACACAAAACAATAATTACATACAATTTTGGACACTTTTGCTGTGTTTTTTTTTTAAATATCGCAATATGTTGAAAATTCAACAAAATTGAAAAAAAACGTAAAACAAATACAATTTCCTCCAAATTTTTTTTTTAAATTTTAAAAGTAAAAACGTATGCATTGGTAGAAACAGTAATTAGATACGTTTTTTTTTTTTTGGGATTTTTGGTTATTTACAAAATGTTGAAAATTCAACAGAAAAATTTAAAAACGTTTTTCTATAATTTCGAAAGTTAAAATGCCTGGATTCACTCAGAAAATCATTAAACAACGGCCAGTCACATTTTTCATGCAGTTTTCTAAGGTATACCAAAATGTTGAAAATTCAACAAAATGTAAAAAAAATATTTTTTTTTAATTTTTGAGACTATAAATTCGCCTAGGCAAATAATTAAACAAAGATCCGTTACTTTTTTTGCGATTTTTGCCATATTTAAATATGTTGAAAATTCAACAAAATTAAACAATTATTAATTTTTAAGGGAAATACATAATTTTTAAAGAATTATAAATATATAAATATGTGTTTATTCACCTATTCCATAATAAATGTTTCTTGCGATTTTTTTTACTATATCACAAAATGTTGAAAATTCAACAAAATGTAAAAATGTTAGTTTTTACCATTTTTGAGAGTGGGAATGCATTTTTTCGCAATGCAATAAATAAAAACAAGATCCGGTGAATTTTTCTTGCGATTTTTGACCTAAAAAAATATGTTGAATATTAAACAAAAATTATTTTTTTAAGAATTATGAAAATAAAAATGTATTTTTTTCGACTACAAAGTAATAAATATATGAGCCTGAACATTTTCTTGCAGTTTTCTTTTTTTTTTTTTTTTTTTTTGAGTATCCGAAAATGTTGAAAATTCAATAAAAATTGTTTTTTTATTAAAAAAAAAACGTATGCATTTAAATATTTGCCATTTAATTTAATTTTTTTATGGTATTTTTTTCAATTTTATAATTTTTTCCTCTATTATATTCCCCTCTCTTTCTCCATTAAATATATTCCTTTAAATTGATTTCCACTTTAATATTTATATTTATTTATTCCTGCATCTTCTTCTTGTTGTTTTTTCTTCCAGCCGCTGTTGTGACAAAAAAAGTTGCGGCAACCGCAATGAAACACCATCGGATCCTGTCATTATTGATCGGTAAGTAATATTATACAAACGAACAGTGTTTTTTTCCTACACACACACCCAAATGCAAAGGAGGAGAAGAAGAAGAGGACAAAAAAGAAGAAGAAGAAAATAAAACACCAAGTAGTCATAAGTATTATGTTTGACTTGCCTTGGCAAGGACATCAATATTGTAGTGACATTCTTTATTGCCTTATCGTTGTCTTCATGGCTCTCTCAGTCACCACTCTCCCCGCACTCTCTCTTTCTCACACGCCTTCGTCTTGTTATGGAGACAGCCTTTTGAAGATGACATTTTAAGCAGCTTTTCATTACAATAAATAACTGACGCGCAATATTCAAAGGATATATGTTGAATGCAACGGCAGCAGCATTATCGCAACAAAGGATATTTGTGTGTGTGTGTGTGTGTGTAGGTGGCTCCACGATACCCAGAGTATTGCTTACAATAATAATAAAGTTATATTGACATGTTTGATGCGGCTGCTGCCTGCTTGAACTTTTGGGTTGCAAGGAAATATTTTTTCCTTTTAAATTTAATTTCCAAATTTGTAAGGATTTTTTTTCAAAATTAAATTGACGAAATTTATTTGCAACCTCTCTAATCTTAAATTCCTCCAAAATCCATCCATCGGAAATAATTAGCCAAAAAACTTATTTCCTTGCCTATTATGATTTTGATAACTTCTTCCTTCCTTGTTTCCCTCCGTTTGCATATTTCAAACCAACCGCCCAAACATGTTGTTAAGTCATTTACATTTAACTGGCTTTACACGTGACATGTTCACGTGTCAGCAAATTATGTTTAACGGCGACCACCAGCCCAACCCCCCACCCCATCTCTGTGCTCAACATTTCAAACACGAAAACAAAACAACGAAACGAAATGAACGACCACAAACATGTGAGAGAGGACATCATCTCTCATTTGTTTCGTGGATGGATGGTTGTACATTTGTCTGCTGCGACAACAACAACAACCAACAAGAACAACAGCATGTCGATGATTTTTCGTAACATGATGTTCGTGTCGGGGTCCTTGTTGCGGGTTGAGGGGGAAAACATATCAACAACAAATTTAAATATGTATATGGTGTACAATTTTAATATTGAACATATCAAATTTTATTTTGGAATAAACGCATGTTGTTGTTTTTGCCAATCGTGTTTGACATGGATCGAAGAACCCACCAACACACTCTCATCCATGAAAAAAGCCAATCGAACACCCTCACAAAATAATTAAAAAAAGGTATTTTGAAGTTACACAATTTTTTTTTAAATTTCATGAAATGTGGTTAAATGCTTGTTAGGTTAATTGCCGGCGAGAGAAAATCGAGGGGAGGGAGAAAACTAAAAAAAAAACAAAACCAAAACAATTCGTTAATGGGATTTAATTAGAATGCTCATTTAAGCATGACACGACAGGAAAATGGGCATTGCATTTAATCTAAGAAGTGTGGCCTAAATTAAAAGAAATTTATTTCAAAATTAAAATTTAAAACAAAAATGTTCATTTTTTAAACAAAGTTAAAATGATAAAATATTTCTAGAAAAAAATTTTCAGAAAATACCTTTAATTTTTAAAAATGTTGAATTTTCAACATAACCTTAAAATAAGAATTTTAATTAAATTTAACAGAAAAAAACATTGGAAACGAAATTCAAAACTAATTCTACGAATTTTCCTTATAAAAATTAATGTTTTTTAATCGATTTTATAAAAATGTTGAATTTTCAACATAACTTCAAAAATTATTTTTGAAAATGTCGGATTAAAAAAAAACCTTTTAAATGCAGTTTTAAACTAAATTTACACATTTTTAGTTATTTCGCTTAATTTTTCTATAGCATTTGTGAAAATGTTGAATTTTCAACATAGGCTTAGAAATATAATTTCTTAAAAATTGCTATTTTAAAAAAGGAATTATATTAATTTTATAACTAAAATAATATTAAAATACATGTTAATTTTTCCACACCATAAATATCATTAAATTTTAAAAATGTTGAATTTTCAACATAACGTCACCAATAAATTTAATGCCATATTATTGGAAATATAATGTTCTACTTTCAAAATACAATTAATACTATTTCTCCAGACTTTTTGGATGACTTTTTTCAACGTTCTTACGAAAATTTCTGAAAAAGTTGAATTTTCAACATAACCTTAGAAATATAATTTCTTAAAAATTTCTTTTAAAATTGGAATTATACTAATTTTATAACTCAATAAAATGTAAAATAATATTAAAATAAGTGTCTCATTTTTTCCTCGCCATAAATATCATAAAATTCTAAAAATGTTGAATTTTCAACATAACGTCAAAAATGGGTTTAAAACCAAATTTCTGGAAATAAAATGTTCTACTTTCAAAATACAATTAGAAACTATTTCTCTCGACATTTGTAACTATTTTTTTAACGTTTTTCCCGACATTTCAGAAAATGTTGAATTTTCAACAAAATCTAAAAAAAGATATTTTTTTAATATTTTTACATTGAAAAGACTGTTTTTTTCAAATAGTCTTATCCATACAGTAATTCTGCATATTTTTTTGCTGAATTTGTTTACACACATTTCAATATGTTGAAATTTCAACAAAATTAAAAATACTTATTTTTTAATTTTTAATGTGGAAATTAAGTTTAAATTTTGCCTAAAGAACAATTATACAATATTTTGGCATAATTTTTCTTGATTTTTTTTCAATATTTGAAAAAGTTGAAAATTCAACATTTTTAAAAAAGCTATGTTATTACTCTTTATAGAGTACAAAACGTATTTATACAACAAAATAATACTTACTTTTTGATTCCACATACTTTTTGGCTGTTTTGTGGTATAATTCGAAAATGTTGAAATTTCAACATTTTCCAAAATAGTTAAAAATGTTATGTTTTTACTCTCTATAGAGTACAAAACGTATTTATAAAGCAAAATAATACTTACTTTTTGATTCCGCATACATTGTGGCTGTTTTATGGCTTAATTAAAAAATGTTGAAAATTCAACATTTACCAAAATAAGACTTTTTTAAAATTTTTAGACAAAAATGGAATTAAAATGTTTAACTGCAGTTATAAATATAGTTGAAACTTTTTTTTTACAGTTTGTGACATAATTATATTTTGTTGAAAATTCAACATTTTTCAAATAAAATCTTTTTCACATTTTTAAGACAAAAATTAATTTCTGTGTTCAAATTACAATTACAAAAAAGTGTTTTTACTGTTTTGTGCCATATTTAAATTTTGTTGAAAATTCAACATTTTTCAATAAAATATTTTTTTCACATTTTTTACGACAAAAATTAATTCCTGTGTTCAAATTACAATTACAAAAAAATGTTTCTCACTGTTTTGTGCCATAATTAAATTTTGTTGAAAATTCAACATTTTTTCAAAAAATATATATTTTTAATATTTTTTGTGGATCTATCAATTTTTGATGCTAAAACAACACTTATAACAAAATTTTTAAAAAATTTTCTTGATATTTTCCAAATGTTGAAATTTCAATATTTTATAAAAAATTTTTGGAAAAAATATTTTTTATAGGACTTCCGAAAAATAATGGCAATTATTTTTTTATGCCTAAACAATAGTTCTACAGTATTGTAAAAATATTTCTTTGCGTTTTGTGATTTTCTTTTCCAAATGTTGAAAATTCAACATTTTTTGAAAAAAATAATAAAATTAAATTCCAAATAATAATGGCAATTATTTTTTATGCCTAAACAACAGTTCTGCAGTACTGTAAAAATATTTCTTCATGTTTTGCGATTTTCTTTCCCAAATGTTGAAAATTCAAAATTTAATGGAAAAACCAACATTTTATCTATAATATCCGAATAAAAATGTCAATTAATTTTTAAGAGAAAAGTAGCTAATTTTGAAATTAAATTGCTTTTGTTTTTCAATCCTTGGCTAAATAAAAACAATTTGAATTTTTTGTTTCCTCCAAAATCAATGATGTGTGTAATGAGTTTTCTAAAAACGTGCTAAACATTTTTAGGATTTTTCTCAATTTTTTTCCTTTTTGGATTTTTTTTTTATTATTTCCAATTTAACTTTTCGATTTCCTTGCCTGCCTGCCTTCAATTTTTTTTGTCCCCTGCCTTTATTCAACTGTGCGTGTCTATTTCTTCAAGTCAATAATCAAACTGACCTTTAATTTAAAGGTCAAACTATCGGGTGGGCAAAGCAAAGGCCCATTGTAAATATTTGTTTATTTTTAGAAAAGGGGTATTAGTTTCAGATTTCGGTTTCTATTTTTTATTATTTTTTTTCCTGAAAAAAAAAAAACTAAAGCAAGTGTCCATAGTTTTATGGACCCAACATCCTTTCCCCTTCCCTTCCAAAAATAGAAAATAAAATTAACTGTACATCTCAACTCCAAAATGGCTTTGTGCAAATTTATTTACTTTCTTTTAGAAAATTCTCTTTTTGTTGTTGTTGGAATTTTTTTTCTTCTTTTTCGGCATCCCGTTACGCCATCATGGTCATGGTCCTTTAGTCCACCAGCATTTCCACCCGCAACAATTTTCCTTTGTAAATTGTTTAAGTATGTGTGTGAGTGTGTTTGTTCGATGACATGTAAAGCTTTGGGCTTACTTTGTATTTATTTGTATTTATTTGTGTGTGTGTGTGTCTGTGTGTTTGTCTCTGAAGAAGTGTAAAATAGCATTTCTTTAAGAAAAACCCTTCTGGCAGCACGTCGACTTGTTGAGATATTATTGCCCTGAGTTACTTACCGATGTAACGAAGGAAATCTTGTTGATGATATGCTGACAATGAAAAGCTTTTGGAAGGCAAAAAAGAAAACAATAACAACTGTAGCGAAAAACAAATACAATCCACTTTCACTTTCCGCTGCTGTTTGGGCGGTGGGGAAGGAAACAAAAGGTCCTTTGGGAGAAAACTGTTGCTACCGCCGATTGAGATTCGATTCTCTTGAGTGAGAAATTTTATTTTTGAAGAGGAGAAGGATTTTTTTGGAAATAAAA